TTACTCCCTGCCGAGCTCTTCCAGGCCTCACACCCCCACTTCCTGCTGGGTTACAGGGCAACACAACTCGCCCCAGCTCCGGCCAGTGTCATCCCAGCAGCAAACCTTGGTTGTCCTGTGAGATGCCCACCCCAAAGCATCCCCAGATCTCTCTACCAGGCCTCACGCTCCTGCGTCAACAGGTTACAGGGCAACACCCCAGCACCGGCCAGCATCGTTCTGGCATCGAATAGCCGCAGATCGCTGAGTATAGCAACTTCAAGGCAGCCTGGGAAAGTTGATAGAAGCCCCAGATTCCTAAACGTTCTCGAGTCCCCCGTGACGACCAAACAGAGTACAATCCAGAAAAAAAAGGGGGGGGTCAAAACTAGAAATTAATACCAACTATCCTAAAATCCCCTCTCAACAAGCGGACCGCCAGTCCCGGCTTTCAGTCCTCGTACCAGAACTCACCTGGTCTCATACCCCCCTCTGCTAGGGTAACAGGGCACCACAACCCACCCCAGTACCGACCAACCTAGTTCTAACGGACAGGAAGTGCCTTCCTCCCTCGACAATTCCTTTAGCGGCAAACCCCTAAGCAGGTTACAGGGTCCACGCCCCGGTGCCCACTACGTTGGACGATCTGGTTATGCCTTCCTCCCTCGGCATAACTCCATGGACCTCAAGCTCCCCCTAGGTCACAGAGCACAGCTCCAGCACCGGTCTATGTCGTCCCAGCATCGTCCTCCTGACCTACTCACCTTAACCGACCTCTCCCGTCTGTTGAAAGTCCCCTTTCATTCTTTCCATCCACCCATTCTAGTTTCCCCCCATCGAAAATCAGATCTCTATCATCTTTTTAAGGCATGAAAATTTGAGATGAAATCAAGGTAATTGCTCAGACTGTAAATCAAGAATTAAACTAATTACCATTGAAATCAGAAAATCCCTCGAGCTACATAGGATTTGAAGAAGAAAATCACTCAGATCAAGTATAGAAAATCCATCAAGCTACAAATAAGATTGGGCAGAAGAAAATCAGTAGATCAACTTATTGATTACCTGGGCAAAATTGTGATGAAGACAGCATACTAGCAGAAACATCTCATGCCACATGTCTACCATGCTTTAAACACGAGCGAACACCATCCCTTTTTGGAAGTAAAGTACACAGCAGTTGGCCTCCGTGCTGCTGGAGGACCAGTGTACCCCAAAGCCATTTACGTTAGCCTCCTTTGGCCCCCTTCACCACATCCAACGTTACACTGCATTTTATCCCCTTCCTCGCACGCACTGTAGGAGCATAGCCAGTTCCTCAGCAGTACTCCTTCTGTTAGACTCTGTTTATCCCCTTCGTCGCACCCGCTGTAGGGCCAGAACCAGTTTCCCAGTTGTAGTCCATGTGTTACACTCTGTTGTATCCCCTTCCTCGCCCCCGCTGCCGGGCAGAGGCACTTTCCGAAGGTGCAGTGCCACACCTAGGTCGTTGCTGTGTAGTAGTCCGGCGTACCGTATGAAGCTTTCTGTCTGTGCGGACTTCTTTTTCTCTCCTGTATGCCAACATGGTCCCTTCCCCACGATCTTCTGCCCCCCTTTGTACTTTCAGGTCCTTCCTTTTCCCCCCATTGCGTAATAAGCTGCTGTCTGCCTGAAGGCGTTGCGGGCGTCATTGTAATCCTAGGCACGTCCCAGGAGGCGCTGTCAAATATTCAGGGGGGAGGGGG